ACTACTACTACTACTACTACTACTACTACTACTACTACTACTACTACTACTACTACTACTACTACTACTACTACTACTACTACTACTACTACTACTACTACTACTACTACTACTACTACTACTACTACTACTACTACTACTACTACTACTACTACTACTACTACTACTACTACTACTACTACTACTACTACTACTACTACTACTACTACTACTACTACTACTACTACTACTACTACTACTACTACTACTACTACTACTACTACTACTACTACTACTACTACTACTACTACTACTACTACTACTACTACTACTACTACTACTACTACTACTACTACTACTACTACTACTACTACTACTACTACTACTACTACTACTACTACTACTACTACTACTACTACTACTACTACTACTACTACTACTACTACTACTACTACTACTACTACTACTACTACTACTACTACTACTACTACTACTACTACTACTACTACTACTACTACTACTACTACTACTACTACTACTACTACTACTACTACTACTACTACTACTACTACTACTACTACTACTACTACTACTACTACTACTACTACTACTACTACTACTACTACTACTACTACTACTACTACTACTACTACTACTACTACTACTACTACTACTACTACTACTACTACTACTACTACTACTACTACTACTACTACTACTACTACTACTACTACTACTACTACTACTACTACTACTACTACTACTACTACTACTACTACTACTACTACTACTACTACTACTACTACTACTACTACTACTACTACTACTACTACTACTACTACTACTACTACTACTACTACTACTACTACTACTACTACTACTACTACTACTACTACTACTACTACTACTACTACTACTACTACTACTACTACTACTACTACTACTACTACTACTACTACTACTACTACTACTACTACTACTACTACTACTACTACTACTACTACTACTACTACTACTACTACTACTACTACTACTACTACTACTACTACTACTACTACTACTACTACTACTACTACTACTACTACTACTACTACTACTACTACTACTACTACTACTACTACTACTACTACTACTACTACTACTACTACTACTACTACTACTACTACTACTACTACTACTACTACTACTACTACTACTACTACTACTACTACTACTACTACTACTACTACTACTACTACTACTACTACTACTACTACTACTACTACTACTACTACTACTACTACTACTACTACTACTACTACTACTACTACTACTACTACTACTACTACTACTACTACTACTACTACTACTACTACTACTACTACTACTACTACTACTACTACTACTACTACTACTACTACTACTACTACTACTACTACTACTACTACTACTACTACTACTACTACTACTACTACTACTACTACTACTACTACTACTACTACTACTACTACTACTACTAC